ATCCTGAGGATTTCTTCTTGAATTAGAAAAGTTTGAGATACCAAACAAAGACAACAAGGTTGTCCCACTTTTCTGGCAAGGCTCCAATTTGATAATTACTATTTCACCTACCCATATTCCCTGTGCAACTTTAATTGCAAAAGATTACGTGTCCCCCTTGAATTCATGGGGCATTGCTCAATCGTGTTTCATATTTGCACACTGCCCCCAAAATAAAGTGAATTTTGTTAAACCTGGCAGAGCAATGTGTACTGAGACACTTTACCTCTGTAATTCCATACGCAAGAGAAACGCTATGTTGCCATACACCACCTTCAGAAAAGATCTTTGGTATAGAGATGATTTGAGATCACAGGAAGGCCTTATCTCTTCTAGCTTAATTGTACAAAGTGAAGATGTAAATTTTATAGCAATATCCAATTGTTATGATGCCTAATATAGGTCTTGATGAAGTTCCATAAATGGTCATATCATTGTGCAGGTTATTTTTCTTCTTATTCATCACCCTGAACATAAAAAAATAAATGGCTTTTTTAATGTCAGTTTGCCTGAATTTAAATACAGGCAGTGTAACATGAGCTTTTCTCTATGAGACAGAAGTCTTATGATTCCTAATATTCTATGCATGTGAAGTCTAAACTCAGGGTTGTCACTGTTTATTCTTAGAGACTAAGGATGGAGGTTGGAGGTCATTAAGTTTTCCAGCATAAGATTTTCAGTGCTGACTGTAGCTTTCCACATGTTTTTCAGTTTTCCAACATCCTTTTTTAACATCTAGAGATCTGAACTCAATAAAGTATTGATCTCTTCAGTGATGTGCTTGGAGACAAAATCACTGCTATTCATTACTTGCCCTATGTTACACACACATAAGAACTTCATTAATTCTTATCCCTTCTAAATTTTCTTGCTTGAAGATGATGAACCCAGTCTTCAAACAGAGCCTTTATGTTAAGAAGTATGACTTTAATTTTGCTTATTTTAAATATTCTGTCATTGAACAGGCCTGTTTTACTAAATATTCCAAGTCATTATAGTGACAATAGCCAAGTTTATTTATTTCTGAACAATTTACAATGTTCTTTATGGTGTATATTTGTATCCCAGCCAGGAACTTGCTGGAATAGTGGCTTTGTTTGTTTACAGAATTGAGGGTTTATTGGCCTATTTGGTACTCCAGGTCATGCAGCAGGTAGTAACAGCTCCTGAATCCCAGCTGTGCCTACTAAGCACATAGAAACTGGAGAACATCAGATCTGCTGGAGGTGTTTATCCCTAATCCCTATGCTACACTTCTCTGAAAACTCTGTTGATAGCAGAAGAGTTTTATTCAAAGCAAACTGCTTTTCCTCTGCACTACAAACCACTCTTAGACATAAGCAGTTTCTCTCCATCTTTAAACATCCCCATTTGAGGAATGATATGAATAAGGTTATGAAACCACAAGTGTGGAATTACCCAGATATTTTAGATTTCCTTGAGGGTTTCCAGCACCGCTTTGCTTGTCTGCACCATGTTTGACTCCATGGTACCTGAACACCAAGCTGAGTCAGAGGGAGTGGAGTCACTGATGTTTTTTATCTCTGAGAAAATACACTGTAGATAATTTCAGAATTGCCTCAGGGTCTTATTCTTGAGGTTTTAGTGTGCATCGGTTACAGGGGAAAACAGTATTAACTAGAAACCAAACAGAAAATAACTAAATTGGGTCATTCCACAGCCTGTTATTATAAGGGCTTTCTAACCTCTCAAAGGCTTTCCTATTTCTGTCCAGACACTGGTTTTACAAAATGCGCCTTTGGAGACACAACTTGCATCTTCATTTTCCAGTCCTGTCTTTCACACTTGTGTGAAAACCTTTGCAGTCATTAATCATCAGCTTGCAGCAAAATAAGCAGAGCCTCTGAACCTGTCTCACACCAGAGTACCATTAAGAAAAACAATTTATCATTTAACTCAACGTTGTTCACATGTGAAGTTTATGTCTCCTAATGAGGTGTTGTTCTCTGGGTATATTTTCCCCCTATTTCATTATTATGGCTCCCTTTGGGCAGGTTTCCCTTGAGTTTTAATTATGAAAACAACACCTGTTTTCAGTGCCACTGTTGGCGTTTTCATCTGCTCCAGAGCATTTGCTTCTGTGTTATCTTGAATGTCTTCCACTCTCTGCATTGATTTCCCTGAAAATGCTGTATCGATTTTATCTTGACATTTCAGTGAATGCCTCATCTTCCTCATTCTTCCTTCTGAATTTTAGAAAGCTACACTCACCCTTGTTCTGTCTGGCCTTCCAATTAGGGAATACTTGTGATTCTCCTTTTCTGTTTCAAATCCCTGTGTGATCAGACTTTTTGCTGCTGTGCCCTATGCTTTTTGAACCTGCTCTCTAGGACACTAGGGAAATGCAAGGACTTTTTTATTGGTCTTTAGTTAAATCCTAAGACCTGCTGCAGTATTTCTACACAAAGAATGCTTTGCTTTTAAGCACCACTTTAAGAGTTGTTTTCATCTGTCAAGTTTCTGTTGGTTTGGATTGAAGAGCCTGCTGTTTTGTCATGTTCAGTACATCATATCATCTAATATTAAAATATGCTTTTGTTGGCTTCAAGATCATGGGTAAAATGTTTCTCCTAAAGTATTCTGGTTGTATTTGGAGTCTGTGTTTTTGTTATATTAGTACTTTATTGCACTAGAAATAGTAAATAGTGGTGAATAATAAAGTAACTCTTATATTCGGTCCCTTCTGCCTTTATCTCATATATGATTTTTCATCACTGCTGTAAGGAAAATAGGTCATCAAACAGCCAAAAAAAGAACAATTTTCATTATGTAATAATATTCAAGCAGCAGTTCACATCTAGCAACTTATATTGGAAGAACGACGAAAGGCAGGCTTAAAACATTGCCAGGCTTATAGTATTACTCATCTAGGGAGCTGGATAGAATTGACTATTAGACAAAAGATCTATATGGAAATTTGTGGATTCTCCTTAAAGGAAGTGGTTTATCACCCAAGCCACTGTTTCAGATCCAAGCAATATCCTGGCCTCTAGCCTTGGATAAAACCAAAGAACTGAGTCCAATCTAAATCCATTTTGTCCAACATGAACCACCTAAAAAGTGAGTGACTACTTTAAACTTGAGATTCAGCTTCCTTCTATAGCTTATAAAGATAAATAATTGCAGTGTCAAGACACTTAGTCTTCGGAGAGGATGGATCGCTCAACCAGACATCAGAAGGATCAAGCTTAGACTATATGCTAGATAGATTAGATGTTTTCCAGCCTGAATGTCCCTGAATCATTCTAACAGGAGTGATTTCAGGTGTCATAGTCATGTTCCAATTCTGATCACTGCAGCCTGGCACACTAAAATCATCACTGAAGTTTTAATGGAACACAATTTATCACCCCTTCTTCCACCCCTCATGTAATGATTGTGTTGACAGTTAATTCCCTGTCCTCCCAGCCTCAGAAACTCAACAGCAACAAAACAAATGGCTCAAGAAAACAATGTGTGAAATGTTTACTTTGTACAGTCTTTTAAGGTGTGTCCAGATGAAAAAGTTAAAAAATATGCCATGAGTGCTTATTTCTTTCTTCTGTAGTAGGGGTGAGTCAAACCAACTCAATTTTCACTGTGGGTTTTCTGGATCAGTGTTAACTCAATCCTAGATACCTTGAAATAAAATCCATAAGCTTTTCTGACATTGTCTGGAAATAAAGAAGTGATTGAAATGAATCCACATTTTAGATTTTAATGTTATAACAAAATTTATATATAAATATGTTATAACATGTTTGTTATAACAAAAATTTACCCTAACCTCATCCCCTTTCCTCTTTCCCACATTCTCATCATCAAAATATTGTGCCCCTAAAAATGATGGTTTCATTATTTTTTCGTTTTGAGTATTTTGAAGACCTAAATGAATAAAGTTGAGCTTAAATAACAAGAATTTTCATTAACATCTATTAGACCAAATTCACAGATAATTTTTTGAAATCAACATGGCTGTAAATCAAATAGGAAAAGGTATATTTAAGTGATATGGAAGATACAAGATTAGCAGACTTTTCAGTGTATTTGTAAATATTTTGTCCTAATTTGTGCTTGCTATTCCAATGGAAAATGTCAATTTCAATTTCGAGGTGGTCATGAACAGCATCTTTCTATGTTTGCCACTACTTGGAAGAAACATGGCAAGTTCCTGTCAAACGTTATAAATGTGAATTTAAGCCTACATTCTGATTTTTCTCATGGAGGGTTCTTCCAAGGTTTTAAATTCAGGTCAGCAAAAGTAGCATGTGACTTTTCTCAGCCATAAAAGACTTCCTACGCACTACATCACAATTCTTATACTAATGTTTTTTTCAGAATTCTACTAGTTTTCCAAGTCCCATCACAAATCAACATGTTTCCCCTTCAAGGAGTTCAGCTGGCAAAATTTATTTGGGACCACTGTTTTTATGTATTGTGTTGTGTTTTGCATTCAGTGCTTGCCAGCAATGATAATTCTGAGCTAAATCCATGGTATATTAGGATTATCACTAGCATGGAGGTGGCTGAGTGTTGCTGCTGAATTAAAGTCTTAAGACTAAGGATTTTCAGGATAAAAGAGAAGTCTTAATTACAGTACAAACTTTCAGATATGGTGGAAAGGCTATATGTATTAAGGGTCATCTACTGTGGCAAACTTAATAGTAGATTTTGGGGGAAACGAGTTCGTGTAGCTGGATGATAAAAAAGATATGAATAACACTGCAGTGCAGACCTGGTTTTTGGAAAGATCTGCAAGATTTGTCATTAGAAGTACAGTTTTTTCACCAAGAGGTTCATAACATGTCCTGCAGCCCATGGCTTGTATTTTTTTTCCTAGAATATTCAAAATGGGGATGTAGTGAAAAATGAAGTAAGACAGAAGACAAGACTAGGATAAGATTTCTTAGTCTTCTAAAAGTTTTGCAAGCTCTGAGTGATTCACTATAGAATAAATTTACTTACTTGATTAATATGACTGGTCCACTTTGTTCCGGTAGAAACCCCCCCGACTGCTATTTAGCATGGATGAGTATAACCTGGCCTTTAGAATGTTGTGAATTTGCTTTATATCTTTTTCCTAATTTTTTATCTGAAAAAAAAAAAAAATTAAAATTGTAGCAAGGTTTGAACAAGGAGATTCCGATGGGCTTGGTTTGTGTTTGTTATATTGCAGCAGGAAAAAGGAAGGAGTAGTATTTTCAGTTACCCAGGCTACCAACAATTCAGATGACTCACATCCACAAAGTCATATTCCTTAAAGCACTCGATTACAGGAAACTTTGTTAAAAAAAATAAAAAAGCAACCATTCATCAAGACATAATTGCCAGCATTGAATAGACTTGCAGAACCCAAAGAAAGCTGAGAGGCTTTTTATGTTGGCAAAGATTATTACTCATCGGATGGCAGTTGCAGCTTTGGAACTGCAATCATTGCCGCACTTTGTTAAATTTGGTATTCATAAACTAAAAAAAAATAAAAATCCACGAACAACACAAAAATGAAACAAAAGCCCTGCTAATGTTTAAATTTTATAGTGAGATACAGCCACAAGGCACTAGCACAGAAGAATATTTCTGATTGGCTACCAGCTGTTGGAGCTGAACAGATGAGCTGGAAAGTAGCAATTTACAAGCTATTTCATATTTAAAACTGTTAGGTCCTGTGCAAAACAATCTTTTCTCTCTGGGAAAAACAACAGAAAAAAAAATTGAAAAAAGATCCCCAGAAGAAAGGAAACATCTACTGAACATAGATTCCCCCAGCACAATGAGAAATTTCAGTTTTCTCCTTATTCTGCCAAATAATGTATTTCTTTCAAATAAATACTCGATTCTTTCAAATGAATTGGTGTCATTTAATTATGTTAAAAATCAGGCTTGTTCCTTAGAAACATTAATTTCTAACTGGCTTCACCTCTGCCATGCTGTAAAGTGTCACAGTTTAACTTACAGCTCACTTTTTAATCATTCCTGTATTGACAGAGTTATATAATATAGTCTTCCAGAAATTTTTAATGCAGTTAGGTAAATTATGATTAACTAAGAAAAATTATCATGCTTAAACTAGAATGAAAATAATAAATGGTTATTTCAGGAAAATGTAAAAGGTTTGTGCAAAACCATTGCATTCTATATATAGCCCTTCATTTAACAGTTCTACAAACCTGCAGAAGTTGGTTTTTGTTGAAAACTGCCAGGCTACATACAATGAAATCTGGAGTAATAACACCAGAGAGCTGTCAGTCAGCCATCCATCCATCTAATTGGCTTCTTACCATCTTTCCATCATGTTTTTTTTATAGCTGGTCGCCTCTGGCTAAAATGCAAATCATGAGGAAGAGCCGTCTAGAAAAAGCTGCTGCTTTCTTAATTATCTGTCAGAGTATGGACCAGTGGACCCTGGGCCACAGAGTAGAGTTATGCTAAGCAGCAAGGCATCATGGGAATTGGAGTGACAGCTCATTTTCCTCCTGTGTTTTTCTGCGTTCGAATGACAATGCAGAAATACGGGTTTTTCCCACACTTTCTCTGAACACCTGGGCCAATGCTCAGGGGGACACAAAGCCAAAACTGTCACATTTCCAGACATGGTCTTATTGCTGTCACTGTGACAGGATTGTTGACAAATGCCAGCAGTCATCTCAGCATCTTGGGAAATGTCTGCCGTGGTTGTGTCAACAGCCTGACAGAAATTGTTAATGTTTAAACTTCTTCCACTGACAGAATCCTGTCTTGCTGACAGTATTTGTCATATGAAACTCAATCTTTGTCAAACTTGCTTAAAAATTAACACTTCCTCCTTTTCTTTTGCAGCTAACTGCCTGTGTGCTTTTTTCTTTTTCTTTTTTTTTCCTTAAGTAATAAGATTTCAACAAGGTATTATTCCACAGTCCACAATGAGTCCAAGAGCACAAGCACATTATGAACTTATGGCCAGCTTGTCCTTTTGACCTCTGCTACAATGATAATTATGCTTTTATTCCTTGCCCATTTTTTTTGCCTTAGGAATCAAAGTTCTGAATTATTCAAGAGCCATAAAAATCCTATTTCTCAGTGTACAATGTGGAAAATCAATTAAACAGAGTTAGCTTAGCACTTATATAAAAATCAAGTTACAAGTCTGTAGACATACATTAACTGAGTCCTTCTCTAACTTTGGTTTTGAAGGTCAGTCCAGCTGGATAGAGAAACAGTCAGTTAGTCTTACCTAGAAACCTTACTCCAGCTCTAAATCTGAAAAGTTCTAAGTATTGCTTTGTACAAATGAAAAGGCATGCCACATAATCGATGTTGTATATCCTCCAAAAAAATGTCATGGGAGTATCATTGATTGTTTAATTTTAATTGAGTGAACATGGTTACACACAAGGCAACACGAACTAGCCATCAGTATCTCACTGAGTGCTAAGAATGAACTACTAGCGTGGAAGACTTCAGCATGTGTTTACGCTTAAATAGGAAAACTTGAAGGACAAATGTGCAGCCAACAGCGTGCAGGCCTTTAGAATGGTGCAAGACATGATTCTGGAGCTCCGTTAGGAAGAATTTTGACTGTGAATCTCTGCTGATACCAAACCCATGTCTTCTGGTGGCATTATGCAATTAATAGTTATTAGGATGTGTCTAAATCAGTAAGAAATCAAAACCTGGCTGTTCACAGTGATTAAAGATAGAGCAAGAGCGATGTCCTGACTACATTTTAAAGCTAGGTATTTATATCTCTTCCACTTATTGCCTTCACAGGAAATATTTAGTGGGTACTTCTTTCACCTTCGGTAAAGTGAACCCATTCCATTAGTAATCTTTGCATAGTTCTGATGTTGTGTCCCAAAAGTTTCATTCAGATCAAATATTATTCTTCATTTAACTTCCTAAGCTGATTTCTGTGTATTGTTAAGTGTCTGTAAATATCTGGCTACTGAAAAGGACAGACACAATCCCCAGGCTGGCAGAGTTACTCATGTGTAGCACTAATATAAAGAAGTAACATAATCCAGGACACTGAATGCGCAACAGAGAGTTAAAACTGCCTTTATCTTCATTTCTGTACTGAATATGCTTTTCAGTGTGATTTTTTCCAGTTGAACAGTGCAAACTATTAAAACTTAGGAACCTAAAATTGGTTATAAAGCGCCATATATAAGCAATTAAGTATGTGACCTGTTTCTAAAAGAGAAGACCATCTGACTCTTCCATTATAGACAATAATGGCTCAAGGTACTTAACATCTCTGTGATACAAGGCATTTCTTTTCATACTAGGTTCTTATATGGCATTTGGTCTATAAGCTGAGTTTGTCTTGGTATTGTCACATCTTACTCCTGCTGTAAGGACAGATAACCTGCTTAACTTCCTATACAAGGTATGAGACCCACTAGGTACCTAAAAATGAGACCTGTAGAAGTCAGCAGGCTGAGTAAGTGACTGCCTATGAGTGAGAAAGAATTAATCTGTATTCACAGTCCTTAATTATATGACCATAAATATTGTGTCAATCAGGCCTATTTCAGCTTCCTAGTGGATTGAGTGTGATTGACAAGAGAGGTCAGGAAATGTATTTGCTGTGAAATTCTGCGATTTCAGCTGCTGAACTTTCCAGCATCATGATTTGAGTAGCCTACACTCAATGAAAGAAAAGGAGGTATTCCTGGACAGCAACCGACATGCCAGGGAAAAGTGGGCTCCTCTTCCATTAGGAAGCAGCTGAGCAAATATTCTCCTTAGTCTGTTTGCAGATTTAGAAATTCTTATTTAAAATTAAAAATATTTAAGAACAGGGCCTTATCTTGCCTATTTCTTCACTTTCCCACTTTCAAAACTGAGATAATTATATTCAGTTACTCTGAAATATCTAAGAAAATGAGAACTGCAAGGTAGTAGAATGGCCTGTTTTGTTTTGAAGTGATTTTGAAGTTTGCCACCAAAGATCATAATGATGAAGGTTTGCTTTTACATCCTGAACAGTGAAATCAGCCTGAATGTGTTTGCAGTTTTGAAATTTTATGAAATTTCTAGCATAAGTTGGAATTATTGAATACATAACCATGATCTGCTTCCAAGAATGAAATTTAAACACTGTTAAATTAGGACATATAAAATATTGTCAGAGGAATTCAATCTTTCCTGAATTTCACATCATTTAATCTCACAAAGATCTGCTTATGCTACTATATTTGAAGCTGATTATCAGGCAGAATCTATTATCATTTCCCAATGTACAGGAATGATGTCAGATGAATGGAGCAGATGGTAAAATTTTATTTTGTCAATATGATCTGTAATTCTAAGTTTCAGTTCAGAGATTTGAAAATCCTTTATACAGCAATGTCACCTCTATTTTACAGGTAAAGAAACTCAACAGACCAGACAGAGCTACGAAGGTAAGTACATTAACCACCTGTACTGATGTGTAGACATATTTGTATGACTTGGTCAGAGACACAAGGTGAATTGACTGCAGACCCAAGTTCAGAATCTCGTGTGCCCAGAATCTTACCCTTTGCATAATAGAAACAATCCCATATGTGTCTGTCAAAAAAAAGCATGCTAGAAAGTTTGAAACAAATCCATCCTGGCATTCCTGAGTTAGCTCTGAGTGAAAATTTTGTGTATCTGTAGAAAACAAAATTCTGGTTATAAATTTGGTTATCTCTGTCAAAAACAAAAGTTTGAAGATTTAAAGCTGATTTCCAATTATTCATTTATAAAATATTAGATTTGACTGGAATAACAAAGGGTTTTGACAGTATTTAGCAATTCTGTACCAGACATGAGCAATGAAAAAAACTTGAGCTACGGCAGGTTGGTCCTATCAGATGTAAGATGCAAAATTCAGCCCTGCAATGAAAGATTTCGGATTCACACAGGATTTACCTGGAAGCTGCTTGGAAGTCAGTGGACTGAAAGACAAATACTGAAACTTAAACTGTTTTTTTTTGTGTCCCCTGGCCAGCCTAGCAGCAACCTACTCTTCCCCAAACCAGGGCACATCTTCTCTGAGTGATCACCTGCACTGAATAAAACTGAATATCCTTCATTCTCCTTGACACAACTAAGATGATGTAAAGAAGAGAACAGGGTCGAGAGAGCCTGACAGCAGAGCAGAGCATAGGCTATGCAGCCTGAGTCCTGGGCTAAATAATTATCTTCTGGTATTGTATTATTTGCATAATTAAAAAGTTTGGCTGAATTTCCAACACGCCGTCTCCTACATCAGGGAGGTGGTGGGGGCAAGTTAATCAGCAGGAGGAAAGTGAAGGTTAATGAATTGTTATTCAGATGGTGCAGGCCCTGTGAGATTTGTGGATAATTGATACCATTTGGGAGCTAAGGCAGAGTGGAAGACGAGAGAGGAGCTGCCACAGCAGTTAGACTGGAAAAGAGCAAGCAAATGATAACTTAGCAATTATCATTTTGATGGGTTTGTTTGTTGGGGATTTTTTTGGTCTTTTTTTTGGTTTTTACTTCTTTCTCTATGTCTCTCTTTTTTTTCTTTTCCGCTTTCTTTTCTGTTCCTGCATGAGTTAAGTGGAATTAAGATGGATGCAAAAGGATTATTCAAAAAAAAAAAAAATTATCTGGCAAAGGCAATGGCCTTTGAAATCTCATCTGGAAATTGTCATTTGGTGGGTGGGAAAGATAATTTATTGTGAACTGGAAGTGTGCTAGTGGCTTCAGGCTACAGAGGTTCCTTTGACTTTAGCATTGTTTTTCAGCATGTGAAATTCCTCTTTTGTAGAACTCCGGGGTCAACTTCGCACACTATCAGCCTGCTATCACTTGTTATTCATGCTACAAAAACATCTATAGGACATGAACTAAAGTCCCACTGTATTTGTCGTTGTCTAAAAAGCTTGTATCCCAAGGATGCTGCTGTTTAAATCAAGAAATCACCAGGAAAAGAAATCCATCAGGTGACATGTAGTACCTAAAGCTACAAACTGGTGAATAAAAGAAGCCACATCTGCTGAACTGGGCCATTGTAAATCAGAGACCTTAAACCATCCTTCTGAACCATGTTGCAGGGGTTCACCAAGCTGCATGCATTTGACATCCTAAAGAAGATATGAGAAACTCCAGTAAAAGATTTCTATCCAGGCCTAGCTTTCAGAGGACTGTGATTAAAGATTGCTGAGATGGAGGTCTTGTCAATCTTGGACTAGAATATTATTCTTCTCCAAGAAAATTATCTGTAAATTAACTCAGAGAAAATGATTTCTAGTTTAAGCTATTTATAGAAAAAAAAATACTTACAATTTAATTTAGGTAATATTCTATTACTGGAATGCTTTAATGACCCAAAACAAACCTCAAGAAGCTCCTTGACACTGGTTGCCTACCAACATCAGTTTGAGACATTTCACAAACACATTTCAAATGCTTACTTTTGGCCCACAATCAAAAACATATCAAAAAACATGTTGATGTTTTTATCAGTCTAGAAACAGAACAAAAAGTATTTAATCAGCAGTACTATTCTGTGATAAAACTACAAATTTTGATGTATGGGACATTCTGATATTTCAGAAAATCAGCGCTGTGATTCCCACGTTACCTGAAGGGGAACTTGTCCTGTGCTGCACCCTCACCTAAAGCAAAAGGTTTGGGATGGAATATTTGCCCTTCAATGTACAAGCATTTTGTGAAGAAAGCTGGGGTCTGTGCTGCAGGCAGAAGGCTGGAGCAGAAAGTCTGCTTAAAGCAGGTTAGGGATAAAATGTTTTTGTTTGTTGCCTCTTATTTAGATTGAGCTTGAAGCTTCATGATGAAAATTATTTCTTGACAGTAATGCAAAAATTATTTTTCTCTACCTCTAAGACACCTAAGCGGCTGCTGTGATAAAAACACTAAAGCTGTACATGCCAACAGATTTGAGAAAAGAGTCCAAAAAGTCTTAATATGACATCCAATGTAATAAGGTCATTATGCAACAGCTCCAACATATGGGACTAGACAAAAGATGGGCAAAGTACCAGAAATCTCTGAGATTTAGCCTGATTTTAGGGAAAGCTAATGTTACCTATATATTATGCCTAATATATTGGTAAAGCCTAGCCTACACATCACCTAAGAGGAAGAACAGTCCGGTACAACTGCATCTTACTAAGAGCATGGTGATACTTTCATTATGGTACCATTAATTATTGCCTTCCTGGAAAATCTGTATTCTCTACCACTG